TGTACTTAAGTACAGTAACGAAGTACTTGTACTTCGTTACTTCCCACCACTGAACCACTGCATATCAAAGTGACAACTTTCCTTAGTTGGTTCTCTTTTAAATTAGGTTCATAGTATTGAGGGGGGTGAATATTTATGCAATCAACCACTTATGTATTTTTTAAATAATTCGGACACCTTTCACCCTTGACTTTAAGATGTTTATCTGTGTTAAAAATATCAGCGCACTAAAAGGATGAAACATCCAAGGAAGACGCATACTTTTTCCTAGGAAATGCTTTGCTTGTAAATAATTGACACGATCGGGCATTTTTAGAATGGGATGCACCTGCCTTGTGAATCCTCCCGAAGACTTCATTTGTCCACTCCCACAGAGGGAGAGCTTTCAGTCTGTCAGACATATGACTTTGCACAAAACAAGAGAAGGACTTCTAATAATACGAGCTCTCCACTTGAGCGTCATCATATTTATTTAGGAACATCATAAAGAGGACCCGGGAGAAATAAAATTTTTTTGTTTTCTTTTGAAGACTTGAGGCATAAAAATAGAACGCAATTATTGAAATGACTCAGATACATTTTTTTTTTTCTTTCCGGACTTCGGGGGTGGATTCCGTGTGTTTTGACCCTCTGGAGATAATCCGCTCTTTGGGGATCTGTTCTTGACTCATTCTCTTCTCCGGTACTCCGTCGCGCTCCTCAGCCTGCCGAACTGCGGTGCGTCGGGGTGCAGTGGAGGGGAGGACACTTCTTTCTCGGAAACTGATGAAGTTTTGCGTCTGGCGCGCGTCCAGACTGCACGTCCTGTACTCACATCCTAAATAATCCCCGAGCGTCAGAGTTCTTCTTCTTCTTCTTCTTCTTCTGCTCTGTGACATAAAAAGAAGAAAATGCAAAATCTAAGCAAGGGTCTCTCGGTCAATGCCCACAAACTCAAACCTGGAACTCCTCCGACGTGTTCACGCTGAGCGCACCTCCGATCAGGCATCTGTGACCATGGCTTCGGCTCTGCCTCTCTACATCGGAATGGAGGTGGTGATCGCCGTGTCCTCGGTCATCGGCAACGTGATGGTCGTCTGGGCTGTTCGCATCAACCGGTCTCTGAGAGACACCACGTTCTGCTTCATCGTCTCTTTGGCCTTGGCTGACATTGCGGTCGGGGCTCTTGTCATCCCGCTTGCCATAACCATCAGCATCGGGCTCCAGACACACTTCTACAGCTGCCTGTTGTTCGCCTGCACGGTGCTCGTCCTGACCCAAAGTTCAATCCTTGCGCTGCTGGCCATCGCTATTGATCGTTATCTGAGAGTCAAAATACCCATGAGGTAGGCCTAAAGGTGAATTTTCACGATAGTTTTTAAATACATCGTCTCATGTGTCTGGAGGCTTTGTGTCTAGTTTCCTTTTACTCCTGCAGCTTTGTGTGGTGGGTGCCTTTGGGTTTTTTATTTTATTGTATATGTTTTTTTTTTTGACTAAGCCATAATCTGATTTCACATTAGTCTTTTTAAATATAACATTAGAATTCAAATTAATCACACCCCTTACAGATTTAGATTTTAAACTAATCGAATTTTTAGAAGTTTGTTTCTAATTGGAAATGAGAGGTCGCCTCTGAAAAGGTAGCAGCATCACTTAAAAATAAGATGTAATCTTTCTGTCTATGTTTATACACCCTTTTAAATATTTCATGGGGAATTTTTGTAGTTCTTATTTTTATAAATAATTTTTATTTATCTTCGAGGATGAAATGCCTTATTGCCATCACTATAATCTTTAGCTCAGTCTATAGATTCTATATCGAACTCCAGTCAATACAAGTTTGTCTGTCATTTATACACAAGAAAGACTTAAATCACAGAAACCTTTAAGCTTTGCTTTAAAACTCAGTTCAGTCACAAGATTAAAAGCCTTACATAAAAATAAACAGATGCCAAAGCACAAATTAAGATCAGCAATATGGTTTTACCACTCCAATGCGTTAATATCATCTAAAAAAGTACAAAAAAACAGGCTAAAATTATTTCTGAGTACTGCTTATTTCATAAATAAAGATAAAAAAGAGTCAATATTTCTCAAAATAATTTTCTGAGAAGATTTTAATGCTTGGTGCCTAATCATATTTTGTGCCCTCACGTGTTCTTATATTTTTCATAGAACTGCCAATGTTGAGCCATTGGACAATCAGCCAATAAAAGGGTCTGTGTCAGAGAATGCATGATTGGTCAATAGGCTCACGGTGGATGCTTCTTGGACTGTGTAATTTGTCAAGCCAGCAAGCCAACACACACATAGAAAGAAATGCTCGTGCACATGTCCGGCTCTTTCCGTGAAAGGACATCAATACAAGTTATAGTGACATTAATCAGGAAACATTTCTAATTTATTGGCCATTATGTGAATACTGACGGTCTAACTGTTCAAGGCTCTGCTGGGCATGTCTGTCTGCTTGAGACATACGAATAAATTCCACAACAAAAATGAAAATGTATCGACATCACAAAACTGCTAAATCACTAATATCTTTGTAAGGATAAATTAACAAGCAGAAATGGATATTGATATAGGAAATATGGCTCAAGGCACTACGTCTGAGTCAGTCGTCAGTCAGTGACAATATTCTGTTGCTTATTTTCTATATTAGTACAATGTGTTGTATTGGTGTAAGCTAATATCTGAGCTATGCCGTACACTGCAGCTGACTATATAATCTTTTGTTGCATTGTACTATTTAGTGCATAAGAAATGAACTTGCTCAGGGTGCCCATGTCATGTACACACAAAAAAAAAAATATCTTCATGCCATATAAGATCTATTTACTATTTTAATCATATTCACATTTCAGTCTTGAATGAATTTTATTTAGCCGTAACTTGAACCAGAAATTGATTTCCCCTCCTCGTGCCTCCCTTGGGACTGTGCAGTGACATGCTTTAAGCACTGATTGCTTTTTATAGCTGAGGTGTTTGTATTTGTTGATAAGGTTGGCCTGAGATTTGAAATTTGTTTTTCGTGCTTTGGTGGTGAGCTTGGAAAGGATTTACAGGTTCTAGAAAACAACTGGAAACCCTGAAGAGAATCAGTGATGGACAGAGATCAGTTAGAATCTAGACAGCCATTTTTTTTTTTTTTTTTGGCTGATGGTGAGCTTATTGGTATGCAGCCAGAGAGCAGGAGCTTTACCAGCAGCTCCGAGGGTTGGGCTCCACATGTGGAGTTAAAACAAATACCGATGCTACATTTGAGTAGTCCTACTCTTTTAACATCCTTCAATTATTTTGTCTTGTGAATGAATGTGTTCCCTCCTTGTCAAGGAAGGAAAGTGTTGAAAAAGAAAAAAAAAAACAAAACACACATTTTATCAGTGTGTTTGTTTTTGGCCAGGTGGACGGTGAGATTACCCAGACAACATGCAGCTGTGATAAGGGGGAGAAATACATGCCTTTCATATTGCTCCTAATATTTACTCAAAACGTTTGTCCATTTCTGCATTCTAGCATAGCTGAACTATTAAAAAAGTGCAAGCTCATGCAGGACCATGCAGGACTTCAAATAATAATAAAAAAGTTGCTCCTAAATACCAGATGTTGTGCGCATTAATAGCATATTTTTTGGGGGTATTTGTAATTTGGAAACGCAATAAAAGAAAAATAGACTTGAGTTGTTTTGCCAAAACACAAAGATCCTCTTCTGCACCATTAAATATAAAATTATCCATCACTTTCTATCAATTGTATTTATGTATTGTCTTTAATTAATTCAGTCAATTTTTACTAAATAAAAATAACTGTTGACACCTGAGTAGAGTATTGTAAGACTAAGAGGTCCGGGGACTGCAGTTTGAGAAAGAGTGCTCTAAAATATCCATATCTTTTTTTGCCACTGGAATGAAAATGTTTTAATAGAGGAAAACAAATTCTTGAGGGTATTTGTTTTCCAAGGTTGCTAATTTAAGAGGTCAAGTTTTTATTTCACAGTCCAAGGCAAATTTTCCCACACAGCCAAAACATCACAGTGGATCTCAAAAATGTACAAAAGTGGCAAATTGCTGTTTTTATTAAGTTAAAATTACATAGATAAATTCAAAACTGCACTGGACAAAAAGACACATACCCTTTCACTTTAATTTAAAAGGTGACCTATCATGCTTCCACAAACAGATCAGGGTAGATCTATTTGATAGATCTATCCCATATACAAAACATGTTCATGAAATTTTTTACAATTGTAATTGTTGGATAATGAGATTTTAGGCCGGTCAGTTCAGCCTGTTTTGAGTTCCTATCAGAATGAGCTGCTTTAGGGCCCCTTGCCACTTTAAATTAAATTAGCCGCTGCTGGCCACACCCGCTCCCCTCCCCCACCTCAGTGTTTACACTCGCAAAAATGGCTGCAAGCAGATGTGCAATTATGTGTTGTGTTATGTGTTGGTTGCAGCCATACAACCAACAAGTGGTTTATGGATGGCAAGTCATCAGCAAAACACTTGTCGTTTCCAGCAGTCATTGTACAGCTGTAAAACCAGCTGACCAAACGTGCTGGAGCTCCGTTTGGGTTGCTAGGTGAAGGGCTTGGCTTGGCTGGGATTGCTAGATCACAGCGCAACAGTGCTTGGGCTGTTTTTAGAAGTACCTGAGATGAAAACGAAAGTGTAGAAATGTGCAAAATTACAACAGCTGGGTAAATCTTGAGTACTGTCATTTGAGTACAATTCCCATCTCCTTTTTTTTGCCACAGTTACAAGCGAGTGGTGACCCCTTGGCGAGCTGGGACAGCCGTGCTGTTGTGTTGGCTGGTGTCCATCATAGTGGGCCTCACTCCAATGTTTGGCTGGAATAACCTACAGTCTCTCCTTAAAAATGGCACCGTGACCACTGAAGAGCTTGTGGTGACCTGCCAGTTTGAGACAGTCATCAGCATGCACTACATGGTCTACTTTAACTTCTTTGGCTGGGTCCTGCCGCCTCTGCTGCTCATGCTGGCCATCTATGTGGAGATTTTCTACATGATCCATAAACAGCTCAACAAGAAGGTAAGGCTTGATTATTCATACAGGAATATTTTGCTGAGTATTTTTTTTCTTTAATAAAAAGAAAAAAAAAACTTAAACTTTTTCCACATACTGTCACATTACAGCTTCAAACGTTCATGCTTTACTAGGTTTACTTGCCCAGCATTTAGCTCCGTTAATCTTCCCCTCAACTCTGTCTCTGACAGGGAATAAAACCCCTGTCACAATAAGTGAGTTTGTGGATGGACCAAAATGCAGACAGGAGATGGGAGCATGGATCACGTTGAGTGTTGAGTGTTGAGTGTTGAGTGTTGATCACGTTGAGTGAAAAGAGATGAAAAAAACTCTAAAAACCACAGGGAACACAAGGAACCAGGGGAGAACAAACTAAAAACATCAGGGCCAAACAAAAGCACAAGGAGCATGACCAGGGGAACAGGATCTGATGGGATTAAACAGGAGGAACCAGTAAGGAGCGTGAGCAGGAGAAGGATTTAAATACTGTGAGGGTGAATGTTGGAACAATGGACCTGGGCTGATTAGCAAACCGGTTGCAGATGTGAGGAGAGAGAGCAGAAGGCAGACTGAGGAGAAGCTATGACGTTTTTCTTCCCAGGTTTTAATATAGGTCACATTTACACAACCAATGGATGTCTGGATCAATAGATTATCCCACATGAGCTGTGAATCTGTGCAGCTCACCCAGAGTCACCATGGGCTTCTTGACTGCGTCTCTGAATAATTTTCTCCTGACTTGGTAGTTATGCTGGTGGTCTATTCTCATTTTACGTTCAGGTAATGGGTTAAACAGTGCTGTGTGACCCCAACAAAACCCAAATGAAATGCATTGAAGGTTTTGGCTGTACTGTCACAAAATGGGAAAAAGTTAGAGGAATAGAATAAAAATAGAAATTCAAGCGTAACATCAAGCAGATCATTTCAAAAAGGATCAACCTCATTATTGCTTCATCGAGGTAGTGTACATTTATGATAATGTTTCGTGGTTTTTCTTAATGTCTTTGAAGGTGACGGCAAGCCACATGGATCCCAGACGATACTTTGGAAAAGAACTTAAATTAGCCAAGTCCCTCGCCCTCGTCCTTTTCCTCTTCGCAGTCAGCTGGCTCCCACTTCACATTCTCAACTGCATCACCCTCTTCCTCCCGAACTACGAGACGTCGATGTCCCTCCTTTACGTCGCCATCATTCTCACCCACGGCAACTCAGCCGTCAACCCCATCGTCTACGCTTTCCGCATCAAGAAATTCCGCACGGCGTTTCAGAAAATCTGGAAACAGTACATGCTGTGTCAGGACCCCATCGGCCGCCTTCCTCAGCGAGGGAACCAGAGAGGGCAGAGCCGCGACATGAGGCTCAGGCAGAATGATGATGACGATGACGATGTTTGACCTTTGGGGACTAATTGTGCTACTGTGTTACTGACAATTTTTAAAGCAGTTGTTTACAGGAAGTGAGAGACCTGATGCTCAAGGAGCTGCAGATCCCAGTGGCATTAAGGGTATGGAGAAAGCGGGGCTTTTATGACCAATCTCTTGAACTGAAATCAGTAAGTGCATATGTGTAGCACATGTGTTACTATAGCGTTGTGTACTGTATTTCTTGACTGAAATTACAATTCACGGCCTTCGACATCTGAAAGAGCTCCAGTCTACTCATCTAAAATCTTTGCTTCATTAACATTCTTCATTTTGTGGGCTTAAGTACAAAAAGGAAGTGAGCATTGGTGAATAGAAGGACTCTGGTGAACTTGTGACTGAAGCTTCGGAATGAAGTTTGGTGCTTTAAGAAGGTTTGCGATGTTGGGTATGTTCTTTGTTGACGTGGGGAAAAAAGATCCAATCAGAATCTTTAGCAAAACTTATGGTTTTATTAATATTAAAGTTACATTGATAATCAAACTCATTCCAACTGTATTAAAATTTCTTAAAATCATCCATATTTTGTCACTTCTGTATTTTTATTTTAATTTTATTTTATTTTTTTAGAAAAACCATGAGAGTAGAGAATAACTTTGAAAAAATATGGCATTTATTATTTGGCCTGTCATTACAGGGAACATAGTTTTTGTATACAAAATCTGAGATTATGAAAGATTTGTTTTGCATGTGCACCAGATGCCAGGAGACTACTGGAAACATTAACACAGAGGAAGACGTTATGGCCTTCGACATCTGAAAGATCAACTCTTGTCGATTTCACAAGAGTGAAATAATTTATCTGTGTATCCCACCCTCTGTCATGCTTTGTCAGACTGATTTTCCATTAAACTTCAAATGTAAGTAAAAAAAAAAGAGTTCATGATAGGAACCATATTGTTTTTTCAGCCGAGCCTTGCTTCAGGCCTGTTCAGAAGCTTCTTGTGCTGAATCTTGATGTTATGAAAGTTAAGGTTTACCCCACCTTGTGGTGCCGGAGGGGTATTACAACAGTTCTGATTGCAGTCCCACAGAGTGTTTAGATGAAGACCTCCTCCACCTATCTACCTCCCCCCCCCCAAAAAAAATAGATATTGAGAAAATATGTGGAGCAGTGTTGCTGGGGTCTGAGACCATTCGACTGACAAAATAACTAATCCTACTTAATAACTCTTGCTTTTAATTAGATATTTGTGGACACAATGCTTAAAACCCACAGACACATTGGTCATATAACTGCAGCCACATCAGAGTTTTAATTAAAGATCAACGCATTCAAATAATGCTGGTGCTCCTTCATCTTCTCAGCTCTGTTTGAATGTGTCCTTTTATCCTCACTGCACACTCGGCTGGCCGTTCACTTTTTCAAAGTTTACTCTTGATTCATGAGAAAATACAATCATGTCTTTTTAATTAACTTTCCTTTCAGGACAGGGATACTTTAATGAGTGTTGCTTGTGTAAAGTGAATCACAATTGATGCAGTATGTTATGCACATGGTAATATATAACAGCTGACATTAATATTATACATAAAACCCAATGTAACTAACTCATGTAGGCGCTGGTAGGAGACACTGATTCATCTCACTGAGGGAACAGCTGTGGAGTGACGAAATTCACAGCTGTTGTTTGCAAAGAGCAGGAAGTCCGACCTCTAATCTCCTCTTATTTCACCAGCCAGAAAAAAATGTTGAGGGGTTTTGGATTTGTAATGCATTATTTGCACTCAAATTTTGAAGAATCACAATTTAAATGGATTTATTTTCTTACTTTTTAAATATTTTTCCTTCTTCTCTCCATTGCTCTCTGTATAACATGTTAAGGCAGTCAAGGGCTATTTTGTTTTTCTCTGAAGACATGCATCACATATTTATGTTATTTGGCAGACAGGGGGTGAATAAGTGAAGGGCTTCTAAGCATGAATGCAAGAAAGAAGTAAAACCAAATCTAGAGTTTATATTTTAGAAAGAGTTGCTTCTTAGGCAGAAACCTGTTATGCAGAAGTACAGGTTTTGCATAGGTATTACAGAGAAAAGAAAAAAAAAACATACACTTGAGGATACTAATCTAACAAGACTGAGTGCGTTTCAAATGCTGCACCGGCATAATACAATAATGTATCCACGTGATTACTTTCTTTCATTTTCTGTGCGTGAGCTATTTCCAAAAGCAGAAATGGGAAAAAGTCTTATTCTTCAGATGCAGATCACTGGTAGAGTAAGAAATCAAGATGCCTGTTACTATTTTTGCAGCAAAATGTAGTCGAACAAAGTATTGAATCAGGGTTAGGGTAATGCATCAAAATAGTTAATTTACTGATGTTAATACTGGAACAGGGACAATGTGTATGAAGCTCCAAGGGATTTAGATTGTATTTCAAAATTTATTTGCAGGTTATATTTTATCAAAATTAATCTGAGCAGCTTTGAGGCAGGAAATCTACTGAAACACTGTAACTTCACCAGCAAAGTAAAAAAAAAAAAAAAAACAGGAGGAGCTGTACTTACCATTTCATTTTAATAAAGTTCTTTCTTCCACTTGCATTCCATTTTGTTTTGCCTCTGAACTTACTTTCTCCACAGCTCAATATTGAATGTGGTTTGCCCTTTATATAAAGATCTCTGTTCCTGCTTGGAGTATTTATTTATTTTTTATTATTTTTGCTTTGTTTTTTACTCTGCCTGACAGGTTGCCCTTGTCGTCGTTCCACAGAACTGCTATCAGACCTGCCTGGAGTATTTGCTGCCTCCAGAAGTGTCTTCACGGTTTCTTGACTTCTCTCACAAACTGTATTTAGCTTGTCCTTTCGCTTTTCGTTTCCTCGCTGTTAAGTGCTGCTATACTGATGGTGTACATTACTCGGAACAAAAAAAAATATTTGATCTTATTAAGCTCATGAATTATTCTAGCAAGACGTGGAGAGATGAAATATTAGCTTATTTTTTTGTACCTTACAATAAACAGGATAGTTGGAGAATTACATTTCTGCTGAATGATTCTAAGAAACAGAAAATGCAGATTGTGTTGAGAAGATATTGCTCCTGGTGTGTATTCTCTGGCAACCTGACTGTAGATTCGACATACTTTTCTACGTATAATATCTGTGAACAGGCACGTTTTATGCAACCAGATTTCAGCAAGGAATAAGAACAAAACATAAAAAAGAGAGATATGTTTAGACTTTACTAGTTGTCAAGAGTTCAATTTCCAGTTACAGAAATATGTAACTGGAAATAAACAGACAATTTGTTTTTTGGTGCCTGTTATTTTATTCTGCAAAGCAGTCATTTATAAATGTTGTTCGGCCAAATGATGAAATTCCAGTGGTGTGAAGTCAAAATATTCTGATGCAATCATGTGGGCTGCAAAAGCAAATAACCCATCAAGATTTGGGCCGTGTGTTTTTTTCTCTCCAGGATCAAACTTGTGGGAGACAGAATGATTCAGAAAACATTCAGAAACATCCCTAAGTATTGATGGGAAGAACTGCAGTGATTGCATGAATCATACAATTACACCATTATGTGTGGGCAATCACATGTGGCAAAGCATAAGCAGACTTTTTAATAAGGTAACATAACTTATGTTGATGAAGGTGAACTCTAAACATTGGACGGTAGAAAAACGACCGAGGTTGGGTTTCTTTGCTGACCCAGTCCTGAACCAATCTTGGTTTGAGTTAAACACAAATGGGTTTGGCCCGGAATAATGGGTAAAGTAATCAAACTCTCAAAAACTGGATCTAGCCCACCAAAGAGTGGGCTGAAAAATATAATTAGGCAAATGTTTAAACTCAAATTTTGACATTAGTTTATTATACAAAATGTATGCATGTTGGTTCTGTTACAATAAATTGACTACAGAGGGCGCTGTTGCTTGATTATGTACACCTTAGCTTGCTTTCAAAGCGCCACTTACATAATAAGTAAGTTGACATATTCTGATACTCTGATAGCTGTAATTCTATAAAATACAAATATATTGTGATTTAAAGTAAATTTTTAGTAATTAAATCAATCTATTCTTCGTGACCAGCCTGAGCTCTTACACTATAGTTAATTTGAAAACATGTTGGCATGTTAGGTGACATTGTCACCCAACGTGCTTTTTGACCGTGTTAGGAAGCCGGAGCAGCAAAATGGGGAGAGAATACAAACATCATGGTATAAGCCCCTCTTACAACAAAGAAAATGTGCTATTAACTTTTCACTGTGCAGCCTCAGTGGTAGTTTTTTTTTCATATTACATGAATAATTTTGACATTAACATACTTTCGCTTTTGGTTTTACATTTTTTAGAATAACCCAGCTTGTTAACAACGCCCTCGAGTCACAATGTGGCATAATACCCAGAGAAGAACCCAGACATGCTCGGAGTTGTTTGCTACTTTTTTGCTAAGGAAGCAGTGCTAACTGATGATGCAACCCTGAAACAGCAAATAGAACAGTCTTCAATACAGTCTTTTACCATACATAGTAAAAAACGTACACCACTCAGAGTTTAGTGTGCGTCACAGTTTAGTGTGCGTCTTCCTTTGTAAACTGGAGCCTTATTTGTTTAATGCAAATACCTGGACACGTTTTTCCTCCTTAAACCTACACTGCAAGAATAATTTCATATGAAGATGTCCGGATCAGAGATGTTAAAAAGGGAACCGCCAGCAGAATCTGTTGTATAAGGATGTCTTTATTGTTTTTTTTTGTTTTTTTTAACCACGGTCTTCCCTAGATAAGTCAGTTTGGTCTGTTAAACTAAATCACAGGGATGGGAACTTGTGTTCTAACATCATGTGACATAGCTCTGCCATTTAGTGGTTTCTATTTTGTCCTCACAAGAACTTCAAACACATCAAGGTACTCAGTCAAAAAACAACATAAAATTGTTGAGCATGCCAAGTCATTCAAAAGTAACACAAAATAATTTTATTTTAATCATCATTATAAAAACAATGGCACAAGCGAAAGATCTCCTAAACATTTTCAAACATTTGTTACAGTTGGCTTGAGTTCACTTGGTAAAATAAGTGACAAACCATCCACATTTAACTATGACACCAAATCAGTCACCCATAATCAACAACATACAAATGGTAGAACACGTACACATTTGTTTTTATTGTAAACAGTGTTAGAAAGGAAGAAATTGATCACCAAAGGCCAATAGATTCATAAACCCGTATTTGTGCTTTAATGTTTTTAATTAAGAGACGGAAAACATTTTAAAGTATTTGCATTTTAAATGTACCTTATCCCGAGAAGACTAAGTTTATAAAGTAATGCTAAAATCAATGCAGAAGAGAGAGCGTCATAGGTGTTCAAGGAACAACATGAACTGGCTCATCTGCAAAGATTTAATAAATATTTGCACATGGACAATTCATAGAATCAAAAATAAAAATAACAGACATTGAGGTTTCACATATTCATTTGATTCATTAAGAAATGGAAAAGGAAAACCTGAAGAAAAAAAAAAATCCAGTGGAGATCCTGTGGTTGCTCTCTAACAACAAAATGTTCTTACAAAGATAAACGTTTCAAAAGCATTTTTATCCTTTTATTTTGTTGCTTTCCTATCTTAATTTACATTGTGGCTGTTTATAAGAAGTTGTACTTATAAGGCATCATCCAGATCTAAAAGACAGTTGTTACAATGCCAGGGTTGCCATTTCAAAATGATTTCCATCTTTAATTTGTAATAAATCCTGTATAATCTAACCGAGAACGCAAATCTTTAATGGCAAAAACAAATAAGGAAAACTTTGTCTGCAGTGAAACACGGTTGTTGTAGCAACAAGCTTTGTAATTTTTTCCACTCAGCTTGGAGTTTCACAGCATCAGATCTCCAAATCCTACTATATTTGCTAGGAGGTTGACAATAAAAATATCATTGATGTAATTTTTTTTTTCACAGTTTGAGTGCAAACATATTCATAATCGAACATTAAGTACGTCAAGTTTTCTTTGTTTTTGCAAAGGCGTGGTCTGATGAGAAGGCTTAGTTTATTATCATGTGTCGTCGTGTGCATTAGCAAAAACCCTGAAACGCGGAAGGGCGTTGATGTTTGGCTTTTTAAGGCTGCCGATCTTCATTACATGGAAATTCATTTGGCGAGATTTACATGGGGACTGGCACTTTATCCTGAAAAAACCAAAACAGAAAAAAAATATGTTTATTCACACTTAATTGTCTGAAATAAAACAGATATCAGGTTATAAAAAAAAAGTAACAAAGACCGTGAGGGGGAAATTTAGTATTGCAATCGCCATTATTTTTATTATTGTGAATATTAGGAAGATCTAGAGGGTTTTTTAAATTGAGAAATCACAAGGTGTTACAGTCAGATATTTAAATGCATGTACTGTAAATCTTGCAAGTGCATGATTCAGCGAATTATGAGATGTTAGAGAGATCTTGTTCACATTCTACCTTTCTTACCTTTATGATTTTGTTTATTTCTGTTATACAAAAATTAGTGTTTGTGGTTAAAAAAGTAAAAGCTACAGAAAGAAAAATATTCATAGTATGCATTAAATCTCGATAATTGAGGTGGAGTAATTTTCTTGCCATTTCCATTCAATTCGAAGTGTAACAGCCAAACGAAGGATTGAAGCGATAAATACTTGGTATGCAACTGAAAAATATCTTAGACATACACTTACCCAACCACCTTGTTCATCAACCCATCTACTGACGCGTCTGTTGAGGAAGCTACTCATAGCGTTCATCACTTTGCCTTTAAGAGCTGGAGAGTTCTTCTTCAAATAAAGCCCCAGTGCTACTGATGCATGGATCATCTGCAACTCCGGGGCTATCGAAGCTTCCCGAGAGACATAAGATTCACACAGGGTATCCACACTTTGCTCGAACATTGTAGCTACAGCCTGGGGAAATACAGTTCAGGTTATTCTGTTTCCAAGACTAAAGAGAGAAAGATTATGGTTTTATCATTTACAAATAAAATGGAGTGTCAAAAGCTGATAGGCATGATCCAAGAAAAAATTGTGAAGAGACATTTGTTCCCACAAATAGTTTGGAGTAATTTTACACAGAAAATTCTATAAATAGTGGAATCTGCAAATAGACCACACAATCCACGTGTGGTCAGAGTACCCCTAACAAATACCTTAACACTAGAGATGCACTGAGAATAATGTCTATTGACCAAAATTGACTAATTTTGAACCTCAATTGTGACTGACAAGGTGAAAAGCATGAAAAACTCCTAT